TTTTTTTTTTTTTTTTTTTTGTACAGCCTCTCGTCAAGTGTCTTTATTTTGGTTTGCTTTAGTGTATCTTTTTCCTTGTGTTATTTTTAAATCTTAAAAAAAACTGAACTTTTCCAGAAGTGGCATCAGAGGAATATTAAGAACACTTAATTATGCAAAAAAAAAAAAAAAAAAAAGAGGAAAAGTGCGAAGTTGAGTGTAATTTTTTTTTAAAAAAGAAGAGAAAATCCTCCTTATCAAAGCGTTTCTTTGTGCTTTATTATGATTAGGTTCAAATTTAGCGTACTATTTTTATATAATACAGAGATTCATTTTGTAAATTTTAAGTATATTATAATTTTTTTTTATTTTTGTTCCTCTGCACTAACTTTGAAGGGTTTATTTGTCTAGCACTCTTTTCTTCTGAACAAAATTTTTTCTATAAATCATAAAAAATGTCAACTGCTAGTTTTTTTGATGAATAACTGACGACGGAAGCGAAAATATTTGGTAAAATTCACAATGTGTAAGTTTTCTTTTGCATAAAAAATTTTTTTTCAGAACGACTCATAATGAACTGCCGGATAAGTGTGGGAATCCAACAGATAATTAGACACTGATTCTGCTGAAAAAAAAAAAGGACGGTAAAGATCAAGAAAACAGAAGACTTTGACCAACGAGAAGCAGCAGTGAAATAAGGAAAAAACGAGAAAAGAACGATTGGCAACGATACTATTGCTGTTTGTCGTCATCGTCATATTGAGCAGAGTGGCAAAAAAACAGCAGCGGTTATCGCTGTAATCAGGTAAACGGAACAGATTTTTTGGTCAACCTGTTAACTCCTATCCGACAGATATAATAATGATAATTCTAAAAAACAAAATATAAGATTTATTGTTGAAGAAAGAAAAAGAAAAAAAATTACAATTTATCGTTGTTTTCCACTGTTATTCAATTGTTCTCTTCTCTTTCTATCACTCATTTTCATTTTGAAGATGTTTTTTGAATTTTTGACATTTTGCCAAAAATTTATTTTGTTAAATACGCGAAAAGTAACGTTTCAAAAGACAAAAAAAACGGGTTGTTTTATTCTTAAAACCTAAACAGCTGACAACAACCGAAAAATAACAAGAAAAAAAACGGCTTTTTAAATAGTGCCATACAAAAGAAAAAAGTTTAGAAAGATGGAGAAAAAAATAAAAAGAAGATAGATAAAAGTCCACTGTAACAATGGTGTGAAATTTTAATTTCAGTTAGCAAAAAAAAAAAAACTTGTTTTTCAGAGTGTTAAACTAAAAAGACAACAGGGAAAAAAAGCAGCTTAAAAACAAAAAAAAGGAAGGAAACAAACGTTTAAAGTAAATAACAAAAAAAATATTAGAAAGAAAGAAAGAACACAAGCAAACAGCATTAACCAAAACGACAACAGCCAAAAATAAACTGTTTTCTAAACTAAATTTGTGTATGTGTTTTTTGTTTTTTTTGTTTTTTGCTCTTTTTCACCCTTATAACTTTTGAAAAAGCTGATGAAATTTATGTGTATGTCAAAAAAAAAACCGACGACGATGATTGTAAAGATAAGAATGACAAAAAAAAACAATGGTTTTTGTATCCAGCAAAAATTTTGGATTCAAACTGATCTGATTGAGTCACTCAGTTTAGACTGCAAACAAAAAAAGAAAAAGGCAACAACAGAACAGAGAGGAAAATGTTGAGGAAAAGAGGAAACAGTAAATTATTTTTCCAAACGTCTGCTGAGAAGTGTGTTTTTAGTTGCAACCGTTGCCTATGCTTATTTTCTCTTTTTCGAGGCATTGAAAAGTGATCGTATTGCCACTGCCAAAAAATTTTTCAATGTTCAGCACTGTTTTTTTCTTTTGGTATGTGGGCATACAAAATGTTCTTATGAATCTGTGAAAAGGACGTTTAACTGGGAACCCTATCGCTATCGTATCAGTTTCCTCACTTTCCTCAGTTCAGCTTTCATCTCATATTTGTGTACTGCCTTA